ACACACACACTCCTGTTGCACTGGCTTCCTGTGTTAAGTCCCTCCATTCTGGCTTCCTGTTTTGGGTCAGCTCCAGTTATCATCACACAGAGCTGTGCACATGACCGCCTGTCATGTGAAATCAGGTTCTCTTGCTCTCTGATCTCATGCACTGTAGACTAGTGGGTAGGAGGTTAGGTCTTAAAGTTATAAACAGGTGATTGGGGAGGAAACACCATAAAAAGCTCAAGATTTAGCGTGCGAGCATTTGTGGTATGACAATAAAACATTGACACGTTTGACTGATTCCGTATTGCTGTTGTCTTCAGATGGAGAGACAAATGTCCATGGGCTCCAACATGATGGGCATGCAAAGCCCCGCCCACAGCAGCTCCTGCTCTTCTACTCACATTCCCACAATGCACTCAGAAGCCAAACTGGTGAGTAAAACGCAAGTATTCACGTGGAAACATACAGATTTCTGCACACACACACAAATACACAAGAGCACACGTGCAAGTGTTGCAACTTTTTTTTCCACTGGGCTGTGCCAGCAAAGCTGCGCTCTTAGGCCTATGTGGATTTCATCATTTGGTATGTAATCAAAGCTGTGTCTGAACCTGCCAGTGCAGCACTGGAGACTCTGGCTGGAATAATGAGCTCTTTATGTGGTTGTGGCTCAGTTACCCACTGACTGCCTGATGTATATCTTAATGTACAGAACGTGTTCTGTAGGTCCTGCAACTTGTTAGCACTAGTTTAACACAGCGGGGGGCGGGGGGTTGAATGACTTCATCCTTCACAAAGCAGGCAGTTATAGCAGTGGGATGTAGATGATGGGGGAGAAAGACTGAAAATAGGTTGGTTTTGTGAAGTTAAAGGGGTACGGAACATGACTGGCAAAACAAAACAAATTAACTAAGCACTAAGGGACTAAGCACTTTGACACTTTTGACACTTTTGACTAACGGGATTCCTTTGATTAACATAAAAGGCCTGTGTGAGGTTGTGCAGGCAGAATGACCCAGGGCGCTGGCAAAAAATCCAAAGTACAAAAATAAAGAATGTATTAAACAAAAGTGGGCTGCTGGGACAGCAAAAAACTTACAAGGATTCTCAGGTAACAATAGGCACGAGGAACACAGAGGACAACCACACTGACCGTGAAAACAGTACAATGATCAGACACAGACTGAGGACAAGACACCAAATATGAAGGGAAACTAATGAGGACAAATGAGAAACACCTGGAGGAGACACAAGAGGAAACAGGTGAGCGTGGGCGGGGCTGAAGGGCAGAGAAACACAGGGAACGACTGAAACACTAGAAAAACCAAGAAAACAAACAGACTGTAGCTGCGTTTCCACTGACCACGAAAATGTGCAAATTATAATTTCGAAAATAAATTTGCTCAATGGAAACACGTCAATTAAAAAAAAAATCCGTTTTTCGACAAAATGTTTTTGCGCTAGGATGAGGTGGTATTTCGACCGTATCAAAATTGGTGTTTTTCGCAAAACTGCAACGGAAACACTTTTTTCACATCACGGGAGTCACATGATCACAACCGGCTGTTTCTACTGGCGAAAAAGACGACGACGAAGAAGAAAACAGGAAGTAGAAGTAAAATCACAGAAGTAGTAAAATAAAGTAGTAAACTCATCGACTACAACTTCCTAAAAACACAGCATACGTAGCCGCTCCCAAGTAGGGGCTTGTCTCTGGAAAGCCTCAATAAAAGACGCCGACGTCTCCTCTGATGATGAGCGCTAGTGTCGTCGTAGCAACATGCTATGTGTTTACATCCATCGTCGCCATGTTTGTAATGACTTATCGCGAGAACAAATGTATTCACGMGTGACTTTAATAGCATTTCTTACTTAATGGAAACACYGCAGTTGTGAAACTGTGTTTTTTCGACATTAACAGAATATCGACAAAGTTTTGCGCACATTTGCAATGGAAACTCAGCTAGTGACAGCCTGAACGATTACCCTCAAGGTGATAGGAACTGATTATTGCTGCAGCAACGTAACTAACCGCCAAACTTTGTTTTCAGAATAAATAAATAGAGTCAGAGCTACGATATAAAAAAAAAATCACAAACCATGACAAAAAGCTTTGGCTGCTCTTTGTTTTTGGAGAGGCTCGCAAATAGCAGGCTTTTCTGGAGAGAAACATCTCGTGGTGAACGAGGAGGTAGCAGGGGTCATTAGAAGAGTTATTGCTCTGATAGAGGAGAGTGGGAGCAGTCCCAGGGCATTTAATTCTCTCTCTTCCTCCTGCTCTCCCAAGATTGATCGTCTTTGTGGTCTTTTGAATCTCCTCAACTGTTCCTATGGAAACACACTTGTGTAACACAATATTAGTGTATTAGGCTTATCTCTCCTCTGGCCGTCATCCAGACACATCTTGTCCGTTTTTCCCCTCCCTACTATCTGTGTAATTGAATTGTAAATGCTCTGTTTGCTCGACCATAAACATGCTTCGTTGAAGGGCTGCAGACCCCCGCTTAACMGTGCAACTTTCTGGTTTGTTGGCCGTTTCCGCGCGAGGCGAAGCCACCAAATCTGGATCAATTTGAGATTCTGCTCCCTGATGTCTGAACACAACTGATGGAATTCCTTGATTGTGGACAGAAAGTGAGAGACTAATTGTGTTATCTGGGTGCGATCTCCAGCACGAGTTTCATAAGCAAAGACAGGATCTCTAATGTCTGTAATATCCTCGCCTGGGCCCAGTCGATAAATAGGGCCTCGCTATCAGATAACTGGGCCATGATCAGGCCCATGTGTCCCCTGCGACGCTCCCAATCCCGCTCTAATCGCATTACCCCGACCATGTTGACTTTTCCGCCAATTGGAAATCTCCGCACTGTAACCCCACACCTCGGAGGAGCGGGTCTGGATGGACTCCTTCTGCTCTGCGTCTACACCGTGAGAGCAGAGAAGGGGGATTGAGTGGGATTTTTGAYAGACATGCGAGACGCACACAGACAGGCAGGAAAAGCAGGTTTGAAAGGTGAGAGACGGCACTGATAGTTTGCGAGACCAAGCTGTGAAAGTGTGTGAGAGTCTGCAAGATTTGTGTGCGAAATAATAAAAAACTTGGTTGTGGTTCTTTTGTGTGTCTCTCTCTGTTTACTGGCATGTGTTTACGGTGATTGTTTTTGATGTTTCGCCCCTAACTGGAGGCACTGGTTGCAGGCTCGTTCCAGGATTAATCCTCCGCTGTCAGAGAAAGCATGCCCAGAGACGAGGCTAATGAAGGCTAATTGATTTTGTGGTGGGCCAGAGCAGTAGAGAGGCCTGTCTCTGGTGTAAATAGTTAATGAGCCAGAGGACTGCTGTGGCCCCTGGGGGACTCATATCTCGCTCTAAGCGCTCTGTTTGTTCTCTTTGGGCTAAAGACTGGAGCTGCATCACTGTAATTCTTTGTTGTCCAGATTTTCCTCCCTCCTAAGTGCCATCATTTAAGTGGTGGAGTTCAGCCTGATGGTGGAATAATCGACACGCCTGCCTCTCGTTAATGCTTCAAGTTTGTTGTTGAGTTTGGAACGTTTTATTAGCCTTGTTTCAAGTGATCCCCCCCTCTTCTTCTTCTTGTTAAGGAACCGGGTGCTCATGGTGCCGGGTGTGGTTGAGTTCTGCTCTRTTGTGGTCTGGGGAATTGAATGGTGTGTGTTGTGTGCGGGAGGTTGTGGGATAGTTGACCCTCGCAGCGTGGAGGAAACGCAGCAGAGACCAGGCCAAGTTCCACAGTGCGCCGGCCAAGGCATTACATCACCGCTCAGGGCCGGCTCTCCACAGGGTCTTGCAAACACTCACTTATACACACATGCACACGGCCTGCCCCAGCTCCGTGTTGTTGATTTTGCATAGTGACACATGCTTAGATAGCAACAAACGAACATACGCGCAGAAAGGAAGTCAGGTGATTAAAAAAAGAAGCGACAAATGAAACCGACGCACTCATGAATTCTTTAGTWTTTCCCTTTATTAAGCTTAATGGTTTCATATCTCAGTATTTAGGATGAAAAGTATCTGTAGCAGGAGATCAAACAAGTTTTTATTTTGTTGTTTTTCTTTAAAGGATTCATATACCTATTTAAAAGTAGAGAACTTTACCATTGTTCTTCTGTCTCCTTTGAATAAGTGCCACGCTTTCCACACATCCTGCCGGCTCTCCAGTTTCACACAGAGTAGCCTTGAAACTCATTTGGTGCTGGTTTATGAAAATGTGTTATTTATTATCTCCTAATTATCTATTGTTTACATTGTTGCTAAGGACAATAAGTTTGTCACTAAGCGTCAAGCTAGGTGCTGAGATTTTTACATGGTAAACAATACTATATGCTCCTTGGCTGCGGCCCGCTTCGGCTGTGGAGCTGGCACGAGAACAGCGGATGACATAATCCCTGGCATGCTCTAAATATGCTCCTTTTTACTTGAAGAGGGAAAAAATGGTGCTGCTCTTAAAGAAACATTTCACTGCACTCAAGAGATTATGCATTCATAGTACTTCTATTGCAGTACTGCCACTTAAGATTTGTTTACAAAAAAAAAAAACGTTACTTTTCTAATGTTTTATTGTTTTAAAGCTGTGACAGGAATTTGGTCTAAAAGAAAATGCCACACAGATGTGTCAGGCTTTACCTCCGTAATGGGATGATTGATGGTTGAAATCACTTGTAAGCAGTCAATCTATTAGCATACATGCTAACCCGGTTGCGTCTCCCATTCATTTTCCTCACTGCCTCGGGGGTAAACCTCTTGTGGTGAGAAGGAGCAACAATAGGAGGCTAACTCCAGGTTGGGTATAAGAAACAGTTGTATGAATAGTGGTATTGTCAGGATGTGATGTCACTAAGCAGAACCGGTGAGCTAAGAGCACAGCTGACTCTACACGCCGCTTCRTGGAGTATGTGTATGCTCGCTGTATGAATTGTATTCGTGCTCATTGTGTGTGTGAGTGGCTTCTTTTCAGAGCACTGGCACTCACTCTGGTACTTATTGTTCTTCGAGTCAAAACACATCTGTGGACAAAGTGGGTGAAAGAAAACTGTTATGTTGGAGTTTTTACACTACATTTGAAACAGATTTGTTGTTGGTGTGTTTGTGTTTAGTAACATGAATGTGGACGGGCTGTCAAACGGGACAAAAGGCACTCGGTAGGATGTTTTTTATTTCTATTGTCATCATGCTGAAGGGTTTTAACAGCGTTTAACTGCTGGATTAATGCGTCTGCCAGTTTATCAGTGTGGAACATAAACCATGCACACACGCACAGGTTTGTTTTTGTATCCTTGTGGGGACCTTGGATTGATTTTCATTCATTTTTTGGTCATTTTATAGCCTAACCCTGACCATTTACCCTAAAATTAACCTCACAGGTACCTACCTGACCCTAAAACTAACCTAAACTCAATTTACACCTTG